CGCTGGCAAGGAAATTGTCATACCTACTTGGCTAATGGCTCCCAGCAATGACTAATGTCTCAATTTGTTCTTTCAAGGTCTTTGGGGAGATGGAGAATGTTTATATGAAGATCAATTAGGGGAATATGAGCCGAAATCAGCACTATCTCAGGAACCTGAGCCAGGCAGTCTGTTTTTGGGTTAATTTTGTGATCAACAACCAGTTTCTGGAGTCAGCTCTGAAAAATAAACAAGATCACCAGAATGCAGATGAAGGCCCCATAGCTGGCCAATGAGAAAGGGAACTGGAATCAAGCAAGATGGGACCATTGATAGCAACAGTCTCTTACAGGGTTCCCTTTTCTTTCTAGTAGAAATCTGACCCAAAGATTAAGACAGCAAAGGACATACAGAGAGGTTTCAAGCCTTTTCATTGCTTTCAGCCAAAGTGAAGAGGAAGTATTTTCAGCAAAAGCAGTCTCAATCCCTGAATAGTAACCTGAGCAATCATTGACATCATAACCTACGTGACAGATGTGATCTACAACAAAGCTAGTGGAGACTAATAATGTAGTACCCCACTATTCAACCTTTCAAATTATGTCAAGTAAGAAAATCTAAAGCTACAGGGTTTTTATTTAGGTTTTTCCTTGGTAGCAAGCTTTCTAATTTTATTTTATTTTTGGTACCAGGGATTGAACCCAGGGGTGCTTAACCACTGACCCACATGCCCAGCCCCTTTTATTTTTATTTAGCAATAGGGTCTCCCTAGGTTGCTTAGGGCCTTGCTAAGTTCCTGAGGCTCTCTTTGAACTCATAATCCTCCTGCCTCAGCCTCCCAGGTCACTGGAATTACAGACGTATACCACCATGCCTGGCTCCCAGAGTATTTCTTTATAATTTGTGTTGATATTGGAGTCACTTACTTTTTATATTTATTTTTTTATTTGTAGTTGGACACAATATTTTATTTATTTATTTTTACGTGGTGCTGAGACTCGAACCCAGAGCCTCGGCTCTATCCTTGAGCCACAACCCCAGCCCTAGGAGCCACTTACTTTTATGTAAATAATATGTTGATATATTTTGAATAATATTTACTGGTGTAAAAGTATGTGAAATGTGATTTTTGGCAGTTGTTTTTGTCTCTGGCAACACTGTGTTCCCTGTTGTCATTCTAATGTATTGCATCTTTATTTTCTTAATTAATTAATTTGGTATAGGAGATTGCCCCCACAGGCACTTTACCAATGAACTACATCTCCAGTTTTTTAGTTTTTCTTTTTTTCCCCATTTTGAGATAGGGTCTCCGTATGTTGCTTTGCTCCTGTCCCAGAGGCTGTGATTCTGACTGTCGGGGAGAATAGAGGGCTTTTAAAGAGGTAATGGCTACATTCTAGATACTCTCTGTTGATGTGTAATTAACTTGTTAATGTGGGAGTGTCATTTCTTAGATCTTCTGGTACCATCCCTGAAGTCTGAATTACTTAGTTTTTGTGGTTGATGTGTGCTTAAGGACAGATGGCCCTGCCCAGGATAGGGAAGAAAGGTAATCCTGTTTCCCCTGAGATTAGGGATGTGGAGAGAGAGAGAGAGGAAGAGAGAGAAACTTGTCTGTTTTGAAAATAATTTACAGTAACAGCAGCAAGAGCTATATTCAAAGCATAAAGTGAACCATTATTACACATTTATAGGTTATAAGTCTGTTTTCTCTGTAGCTGTTTTCTGGACAACATTCTGATTTTGGCATGCATGGAGTTACTGTAGTCAACATGTAATTTCTATGTAAATAAAATCTTTTTAAGGTCAGGCTTAGAGAAGGACACATTTAGGCACTATCCTGGAGAAAGTTTATGAATTTGACAGCTTCTTTCTGATCCCTGAATAACTTTGATATGTTTAACCTGAGTTCATGTTCTCTTTGTGACTCTGGACATAGAGTATTGCTGCCACAGAACTCTATAGTTTCTTTACCTATTTAATCTCTTATTGGCACCTTTATTTTCTTGGCTGAAAAATAGGTAGGTTAGAAGGAGGAGTAAAAAGGCCTTGACCATGAAGTCAGCTGTCTCTGTTCCAGTGAGGCCTGTCCTGGCCTGTCGAGGCACCCCTCCTTCTTGAGAACAGGGTTGTCTGCATGGGACACTGAGTTTGGAATCCCCTGAGCACACCTGTGTCCCCATTTCCAGGAGGAACAAGAAGGGCCCACTGAAGAAGCAGCCAGAGCCCCCGTGGAAAGCCAGGAGCAAGCTGTGCTTCTGTGCACCGTCTTGGGGCTGCTGCTGGTCGCGGCCTGGGAGAAGTGTGGCCTGGGGAGAGCTCTGGTTGGAACTCACAGAGGTTTCAGGCAGAGAGGGAAGGGGATTGCCGCTTCGTTCCGGCGGCGCGCTCAGGGCGGGTCTTTGACTGACAGTCAACTTCGGGGGCGGGACGGAGTTGCAGAGCGGTCCAATCAGGAGCGCCGGCGGGAGGTGGGTCCGCTCCGAACCGCGGGACCTTCCGTTCTGGCTCCGCCATCTTTGAGACTCTGTGGGCTCCCGAGGTTGCTCTTCCTGTTTGGCCTTGTGACCTCCTTTGACTTCGGCAGCCGTGAGGCGGACAGCAGGACACCCAGAAGCAAGGAGATGGTGAGTGTGCGGGGCCCAGGCGTCCCGGACGTGGGCACAGGGCCTGGCTGGGACGGGGACCCAGCGAAACCCGCTCCGCTCCGTAGGTGCCTGGAACCGCGCTCGGCCCTCGGTCCGCTGGTCCCTTCTGTTCCGCGGGGCGGGGCCGGCCGCGGGGACCGGCGTTCGCTCGGCCCTGCGCGGCACCTTTACCTGGTCCTGAGCCCTCTGCCGGGCGCAGGCGCGTCTCCCCAGGCTGTGCGGTGACGGCGGGGGTCAGGGACCCGGCGGGAACCCCCACGTCTCCTGGGACTCCCCACGTTGCTAAGCTCGGTGGCGAGGGCGTCCCGCGGACTGGCTGGGAGGGGAGTTTCCCCCGTGTCATTGTTATAGACGGTTCCAGACGTTGTTTTTAAAAAGGAAACGCTGATTAAAGGAGGACCTGACTTCATTTGAAAGGAGCATTGCAGTAGGGCGAAGCCCCAACTATAAGGTTCCGAGCATCTCAGTGGATAAGTAGAAAAGGGACTTTTTTCCTTGGGGGAAGAAGATGGGAGTAGAAACTAGGTTGGAGGGGAAGATGGAGATGGCAACGTAAGCTCCTGTTCTTAGGGTGACAATAAAGAGATTTTGTGCTGGCTCAGGTTGAGGGTGAGTCAAGGATCCCAGGCTTGGAGGAAGGAGAAACCACCAAGGAAAGTTTGCCTAACGGTTTTGTTTCTATTAATCACTTGAGCTGGCAATTTTTGAGGCAAAAAGTGAGAATTTGGAAACTGTGTCTGGCTTTGTCATAGGTAAGGTAAAGGGACATCAGTTAAGTGGAAGGAGTATAGTGTTGTTTGCACTAGGCTGCTTCCCCAGAGTACAAAGCATTATACAGGGGATTTCTTTAATCACGACTGGTTTCCAGGATTTCAGCAGTTACATGAAATTCAATCTCTTCAGCTGTTTTTGCATCTACATAGTTGTTCTTGTCAGAGTGTAATTTGTGTCAGTGAGGACCAGTCAGAGAAAGAAAACTTTGGGTTCTGCCTACTGGAGAATTTCATATTTCATTTTGATGTATAGAAGAATTTTTAAAAACAGGTCTTTGTCCCTGATTGTGGCACAGAAAACCTAAAACCCTGGAATTTCCTGAACAATAGGAGTATCTCTGGGTGCTTATCCTCATCCTCTTTTAGACAGTACCTGAATTTGTGCTCAGGAGTTGACTCGGTACCACCCTTCTGGCTTCAAAATGGGGACTATTGACCACACAAGCAAACACTTGCTTTGTGTTCACATCTGCACTGGGGTCAGTATACTGGGACAGAGCCCTGAATTTGCAGGGACCGTATTAAGTCTTGGTGGTATCAGAATTTAATTGTTTGATGCCCAGTTGGTATTGAATTGGTTAGCATTCAGTAAACACAGATTTAGTGTCAGAAATGATGTTAGAAAAGAGCACAGATCAGAACCTTCAAATGACTGAGTGAATGCTCGCAAGAATTGAACCTGTGTGTGAGGGAGCCTTTCCATGACTTGGAAAAGTGAAAAGCAGGGTATATGGAGGTTCCAGTATTCAATTTCCCGAATGTTCATGTTTCCCTCACTCACTCTCTGACAGTGGATGCCTGGGCTTCATCTGCGCAGTGACAGAATTCTGTAGGCTTAAGAATGTGTTTGCCTTCTGAGTTTAGATCCCCTTATGAACTGTGGGTGAAGCAGACTGCTGCCCTGAGCTGCTTCCCTTTTGTTTCCTGTGCAGAATCCCGTTTTTACAAAATAGCAGTGGTATGTTGGTGTATACCTGCAATCCCTGCAACTCAGGGTGTTGAAGCCAGAGAATCATGCATGGTTTCAGGCCAGTCTCAAAGTAAAATCTAGAAAGGACTGAGAATGGAGCTGAATGGTAGTGCACCAGTGGATTCAGTCCCCAGTACTTTAAAAAAAAAAAAGGGCAGTTGACTTACACATTTAAGAATTTTATTGAACATAAGATGCCAGCTTTCTTGACCTGAATGGATGGATTTAAGGAGATGTGAGAAAGAGAATTATTGACATGAATTACTTGTTTATAGGAATTAAGTTTATAAAGGTACATGGAATCACTATGCAGGGGAATAAACAGACCGTAATCACTTCCAATGTGTTTCCCTGATCTCATGTAGCTTGGCATCCTTAGGTGACTAGAGGATGTATTTTTTGAACCTTCCTTATTGGTTACCATCTATTTATCATTATGAGATTTTTTTTTTTTTTTTTAGGGGGAGGAGATTACCAGGGATTTAACTCAGGGACACTTGACCACTGGGTCACATCCCCATCCCTATTTTTTTATTTTGTTTAGAGACTGGCTTTGGGACATCCTCCTGTCTCAGCCTCCCAAGCTACTGGAATTGCAGGCTTGTGACACCATGCCCAGCACTATGAGATTTCTCTTTTGTTGTTGTATCTTTTCCTTCATCTATTGCTGGTGTGATGATAGTTCCCTTGGTTCTCACTGCTTCTGGAACTTGGTTATTTCAGGTTTATTTTATTTATTTATTAATATTTATTTTTTAGTTGTAGTTGGACACAATACCTTTATATTATTTTTTTAATGTGGTACTGAGGATCGAACCCAGGGCCTCACATGCTAGGCAAGCTCTCTACCGCTGAGCCACAACCCTAGCCCTTTCAGGTTTATTTTTTGATGTTTTCAACAATGTTTATTTTGTCCTCTAGTGCTAATATATCTTTTTTTTTTTTTTTTTTTTTTTTTTTTTTTTAACAGAGTGGGAAACCTTTTTGTAAATTATGGACAAATTGAAATTGAATAGGAAATTGTGTCTGTATAAATTTATGATCTTCTGACCTTTCATGTTTTTTGTTTATTGAAAGGCTTGCTAACATTTGCAATGCTCTAATTTATTTATATTTTGGTATTAAAGAGCATCACTGTGGGATTGTATCTTTTTGAGATTTTTTCCTAGGTGATCTTCTACCCACCTCTTTTCTCTCTTTGTGCTGTATAAACAGTTTTGTGATTTTTTTAAAAAAAATTTCTGATCCAATTATATAGTTGATATGAAATAAAATGTATATTTGTATATTTAGCAACTATCATGGAAACTTGCTACAATCCCTTATTAATTCCAGAGGTGCTTGATTTTGATTTTTTTGTTTTTTTTTTCCTACATAGACAATTTCACCTATGAACAAAGACAGTTTTATTTTCAATCTCAGAGCTTTCTTTTCTTGCCTGGTGTTTTCTATGTGTCAATGTGATTTTAGGAGTTTTGATATTTAGCTTGTAAATGTGATGGATTACATGAATTTATTTATAAATCTTCTATTAGGTTTCCATACTTAGAATTCACAGTTGGTTGTGGTACATATTTCTGTTTATGCCTTAATGGGATTTACTCTTTTCTGTGTTTGTTAGAAATATTTTCCTGTGGTTTGGGCTGGGGATGTGGCTCAAGCAGTAGCGCGCTCTCCTGGCATGCGCGCAGCGCTGGGTTCGATCCTCAGGCACCACATACAAATAAAAATGTTGTGTCCGCCGAAAACTAACTAAACAATAAATATTAAAAACAAAAAAAAAGAAATATTTTCCTGTGGTTTTTGTTTATTGTAATGTCTCTAATTTTGATATCGTGGCAGTATGGGCCTCAAAGCATGAAGTAGTGTTACTACCTCTTCTATTTCCTGAAAAAGTTTGTAGATGATTGGTGTCATATTATGATTACATGTTAGATGGAATAAACCAGTGAGAACATGTGGACCTGGTCTTTTTTGTATGATTATGTTTTATACTCTTTCAGTTTCTGTAATATACTCTATAATTTGCTATACTGGGGATGCAACCCAGGATATTCTACAACTGAGCTGCATTTCCAGCTCTTTTTATTTATTTATTTTTATTTTGAGACATTGTCTTGCTAAATCACTAAGGCTGGCCTTGAAGTTGAGATCCTGATGCCTCAGACTCCTTATCACTGGGATTACTGGTGTGTGCCACTGTGCCTGGCTGTATAGTCTCTTATGTATATTGTTTATCACTTCTGTGAGTTGTGTAGATTATTTCTATCCAGGAGTTGATTCATTTTATTACGTTTATGGACATATAATTGTTTAGAATATTTGTTAATGGTTCACTTAATATCCAAGGAATTAGGTGGAATGTACCACTTTTGTTACCAAGGTTAGTTATTTGTGTATCTAACTAAGGCTAATTAAGACTTATCAATTTTGATGATTTTTCCAAGAGCCAGCTTTGGGGGGTATTTTGTTTTGGTTCTGGGAATTGAACCCATGTGTATTTTACTACTGAGCCACATTCCAGCTCTTTTTATTTTTTTTATTTTGAGACAAGATCTCACTAAATTGCTTAGGTCCTTGCTAAGTTATTAAGGCTGGTGTCCAACTTATGATCCTTCTGCCTCAGCCTCCCAAGTCACTGGGATTACAGGTGTGTGCTTCTGCACCTGGCTCCAAATTTTTTAATGGTGCTTTGTCGTCATACATAGTGGTGGTATTTGTTTGGTACGTGCCTACAATATGACCATATAATATCATTCCCCAGTACTTCCCCTTTTTCTCCCTTCCTCCTTCCCCTCCCTAGTCCCTTTTCTGTATTCTACTGATCTCCCTTCACTTTTCATGAGATCCCACTGATCTTTTCTTTTTTCCTCTCTAGCTATCACACCTTTTGAGTTTGACCTGTTTCACTTAACATAATGTTCTCAGGTTTCATCCATTTCCCTGAAAATAACTTTTTTTTTTTTTTTTTTTGGTACTGAGGATTGAACTCGGGGGCACTTAACCACTGAGGCACATCCCCAGCCAACAGGGTCTCACTGAGTTGCTTAGGGCCTTGATAAGTTGTTGGGGCTAGCTTTGAACTTGTGATTCTCCTGCCTCAGCCTCCCGAGCCACTGGGATTACGGACTTGCACCACCATGCCCAGCTCATTATTTTTATTTTAAGACGGGTATCTCACTAAGTTCCGAGGGCTATCCTGGAACTTCTGATCCTCCTGCCACAGCCTCCCAAGCTGCTGGTATCATAGGTATGTGCCACCGTGTCTTTCTATGTGACTCCATTTTTAGATATTTGATTCAAATTCAGTATTTAACCTTTAACACTCCTTCTTCCCTTTGTGCCCCACATCAAGATAAGGTGATCAAAAGCCTGGCACTGCTCTACTTTGCATTGCCAGGAGCCTGAAACCACCCATACCTATGTCCTTGTAACTGGAGTGAATTCTCATCAAAACTTCTGTGTTAATAACGTATAAAACTCCCAGGCCGGACTCATTTCTTCCCTCTCTTAAGGCACTTGCTACTTGTTTGAGATGCTTATCCTACTCTCCCTATGCCCTCAATTATATGAATAGTGAGACTTTGGCTGTCCTTTGGTTTTGTATTCTTTCTCCTCATCAATGTCAACATCAGAACCACACCTCTAAAACTAACCAAAGCTATAACCACTTTCTGTGTCTGTCTTTTCTTGCTTTGATTTGCTAACCTGGTCTCCTACCTGATGGCCAACATATACTGGACCTCTGCTTCCTGGCTTTGAAGGGATTTTGTTGCGTTAGACCTGTGCTTCTCTGTTGCTGCCCAGTGTATAAATCTTGACTCATGTTGCCATGTTGCAAGGAAGAAAAACATATAAATAAATATGTCTTTCCTAAATTTAATTTTTGTGTGTAGAGGGGAGGGTTCTAGGATTTAACCGAGGGTGCTTTACCACTGAGTTCCATCCCCAGCTTTTTTTGCCTTTTTTTTTTTTTTTTTAAGACAGGGTCTCACTAAGTTGCTGAGGGTGGCTTTGAACTTATGATCCTCTTGTCTCAGTCTTTCGAATCACTAGAGATTACAGATGTGTGCCACAATACCTGGCTCAAATTTAATTTTTTGTTTAAATAAATCATCATGAAGTACGTTTAAAAACAGTGAATAGCCAGGCATGCTGGACAGGGTAAGGGAAAAGGATCATAAGTTCAAGTCCAGACTAAGCAACTTCAGGAAACCTAGTCTCAAAATAAAAAGAGCTGGGGATAGAGCTCAGTAGTAAAGAACCCCTGGGTTCAATCCCCAGTACAAAAGAAGAAGAAGAAGAAAAAGAATAAAAAATTTGGTAAGATTTAATAATACAATCTAAACTGGGAATCCTCGTTATGATTAATAACTTGAGGAAAAAGGGGGAAAGAAGATTTATAACTTGGATTGTCTCCATGTGGTCCTCTGACTGATCTTTTCCTGTCTTGCCCCAAAGGTATCTACTATCCTGATCCTTTGGCTATTTTTCCTATCTTTTAGCAAGTGTGGTTTTTCACTCAGCAATTATTTTAGCATTGTCTCCTTGGAACTTTCCATAAGTGATTATTAAAGGAATCACAGAAAAAGGTATTATGTGTCCTTCACTTGCCTCAATGTTTCTCACATGCTAGTATCAGGAGGGGGGGCAAATTATTTCCTCATCAGTTCCAGTGGCCACTATGTCAAGCTACTTCCTCAACCAAATCTGCTTTTTGTTTTAATATGTGGTTTCTTCTTCCTAAGTTTCATGATTTTGATCCTTCTTTGTTCATGTGTTCCTTCCTTGCCTTTTACTTCCCTTAATATTCATATACTAAAATTCCCAATCCATTTTTAGTGGCTTATCTCTCTTCTCTCTTTAATTTTTTTTTTCTTTTTAGTTGTAGATTGACTCAATGCCTTTATTTGTTTTTATGTGGTGCTAGAATTGAACTCGCTTGCTGAGCTACAACTCCATCCCTTTTTTTTTTTTTGTACCAGGGATTGAACACAGGGGCACTTTACCACTGAGCCACATCCCTAGCCCTTTTTATTTTGATTCAAGGGCTTGCTAAGTTGCTTAGGACCTTGCTAAGTTGCTAAAGCTGGTCTTGACCTTGTTATTCTCCTGCCTCAGCCTCCTGAGTCACTGGGATTACAGGTGTGCACCACCATGCCTTGCTGGCTTATCTCTTTTTATGTAATTATTATTTCATCCAAAATATATTTGTTACTGACTTCTCAGAGAATTCAAGTTTTAACTTTCCCATTTCGTTTTATAATTTGTTTATCATCCATGACATAGACGGGAATACTGTATAAAATTCAAGTAGACACCAGTTTCTCCCTGTCTCATGTATTGAGATTGTGATTTCTGCCACTCTTGTATTCAGTCTGGGCTATCATAAATTAATATTCTGTAATCTGTTAATCTGTGATAAATGTAGTATCCTGAATAGTGTAGTAGGAAAATCTTTTATGTATTTTAGGTAAGCTATTAATTTCTAATTCCAATGATTTTGAATTAATTTTAAATTAATTTCTAGTTCCAATGATTGTTGGGCATTGATTATACCTACTAAATTGAGGAAAGTGGTTTTTGCTGACTAGTTAATGTATAAAAAGTGAGCTTTGGGAATTAAGAATTTTATTAATGTGTGTGAGACATCTTGAAGACATTGAACTCTATATTCATGTACTATCATTTCTTGTATTTCAGTTGTTCTTGGACATTGTCCAATAAAAAGTGTTTTCCGTTAGCATAGTGAATTATTCTTCATGAGGCTTATTTAGTTTTTTTTTTTTTTGAGAGAGAATTTTTTTAATATTTATTTTTTTAGTTTTCGGTGGATACATCTCTATTTTTTTTTTTTTTAATGTGGTGCTGAGGATCGAACCCAGCGCCTCCCACATGTCAGGTGAGCGCACTACCGCTTGAGCCACATCCCCAGCCCCTGTGAGGCTTATTTAGTGTTTAAGGTTGTTTTGTAAGAAACAATGTACAAGCTTCCAAAGGTTGTCTCTTAGGGACTAGAACACATCCTCTGGTATTGTACTAACAAGCAAGTTGTGACAAGTGGTGTAAATTGTACCTGTCAGACCAACTCCTTAGGGATTCTTCATCCAGAATGTACTTGGAGGGCTGATGACCATTCTGAATATTGAAAATATTCAGAGGTACAACAGATTATGAATGAGAACACATTGTTGGCATATACTCTCAAATTTCTCTCAGGCATATATAAGAATATGCAGTGGGCTGGGGTTGTGGCTTAGTGGTAGAGCGCTTGCCTAGCATGTGATTCTCAGCACTGCATATAAATGAAAGAAAAAAAAATAAAGGTCCAGGGCTGAGGTTGTGGCTCAGCGGTAGAGTGCTCACCTAGCATGTGCAAGGCCCTGGGATCGATCCTCTGCACCACATAAAAATAAATAAATAAAGGTATTGTGTCCAACTAAAATAAATAAATAAATAAAGGTTCATTGACAACAAAAAATATATATATTTTAAAAAAGGATATGCAGTATATGCAGTATCTGGACAGGTGGTGCTTACTGTCTTGGGTGCACTCAAGATTTTGTTCTGAGAGGTATTACAAACCCACTGCATAATAAGATATTGGTGTGACCCAGGAGCACAATGTGTGTTCCTATCATGCTGTTAAGTTCCAGACTAGTATCAGAATTGTTGTGTGAGAGGAGATGAGTGTGGATAGGGAATTAGAGAGTGGTGATATGAAGTGAATTTTGAGGAATACAACATCATGTCAAATTTTAATGAAATGATTTCCCATCTCTGGTACTGAGTCTTACCCTTCCTCTTGGAAATATATGTGGGATAATTTAGGAGTTGGTGACCTTTGAGGATGTGGCAGTGAACTTCACCGTGGATGAGTGGGCTTTGCTGGATCCCTCCCAGAAGAAGCTCTACCAAGATGTGATGCAGGAAACCTTCAGGTGTCTGGCCTCTCTAGGTAAGGATGACATCATTCTCTTAATTATTTTATCAGAAATAAAGTGTTTCTTCCTTATGAGGGCTACTACATGATATGGAATATGTAAAAGAAATATTTAGTTGTTAGACTAGGTGTGGTCACAATACACGATGAACCTAACTAGAATGTAATAAGGTTTCTATAGTGTTTACTAATTCATACTGATTTACTGGGTTTACATTTTAGGAAAAGAAAGAGACAGCCAGACCAATGAAGATGCATACAAAAATCCTGGGAAAAATCTAAGGTAATCTATATTTAGGAGAAAGCAATGTTGCTCAAGAATGTAGTAATGACAAGTAATTTTAAAAAACAAACAATGCAAATAAACACAGCTTTAAATTGATTTGATTTGAGGAAATTTTCCTTGACTTTTATTCAGGTTAGTATTGTTAATCAGAAAATCAGAAATTCAAAATGTTCCAGCATTAGAAACATATCAGGCTCTCATATTGTCATATGTGATACTTTTCTGATGGATCCACCTAGAGAGACTTTGTTCCATGCACAAAAGTATCAAAAATGTTGTATTAAATTTCCTTTGAGTTTAGGTACAAGGTGTTTATGATATTAAAGTAAATTTTGTGTTTGAGCTAACTCCCTGGATATTTCTTTATTTGCAAATGTTTCAAAATCCAGATGCTTTTGATCCCCATCATTTCACATAAGGAGTAATGAACCATATTTAATTGTGATATTATATTCAGTATTGGCCAAATAGTTTATTTAGGAACAGTATTAAGATTTTTGCATTATAACATCACTATTTTCCCTGGTAGGGTGGCACACACCTATCATCCCAACAACTAGGGAGGCTGTGTCAATAGGATCACAGTTTCAACGCCAGTCTCAGAATTTTAGTGAGGCCCTAAGCAACTTAGTAAGACCCTGTCTCAAAATAAAAAATTAAAAAGGGCTGGGGATGTAGCTCTGGTAAAGAGTTCCTGGGTTGAATCCCTAGTACAAAAAAAAAAAGCAAAACCGCACTAACCCTACTTCGATGATATTTGTGATTGACCCATACCATAGTGCATGGTATCATTTTTAAAAAATATATATATGTATTGTTTTTAGTTGGACACAATATCTTTATTTATTTTTATTTGGTGCTGAGGATCGAACCCAGGGCCTCGCGCATGCTAGACGAGTACTCTGCCTCTGAGCCACAAACCCAGCTCTGCGTGGTATCATTTCATGTTCAAAAATTAAGGACATAAAATCAATGCTTTTCCTTATAAGCCATAAAGAAACAAAAGCTTAATGATATACTTCTCATTTTTTTCCAGAAGTCAAGTATTAGGGACACCCTGTGAAGGTAGTGAACATGGAGACATCTTCAGCCAAACTCCACATTATATTGAGAACAATACAACTCTTCCTGGCGCAAAACCAGGTGAAAGCTTTGTGTGTGGAGAAGTCCTCATTGACGATTCATCACCAAATGTGCTTTTCAGATCTCAAACTGGACATAAACCATATGAATATCAGCAATATGAGAAGTCTGTTGTTTATTACCAGTGCTTGCAGGAGCATGGAAAGACTCAAATGGGAGTGGAACAACATGAACATAAGCAATGTGGGACAATCTTAACTTGTCCTGGTTCCCTTCCAATACATGAAAGGATTGACACTGGAGAGAAACCATATATATGTACACCGTGTGGTATAGCCTTCAATAATCACAGTACTCTTCGATACCATGAAAGGGTTCACAGTGGCAGAAAACCCTATGGATGTCAGCAATGTGGTAAAACCTTTAGTTGTTTCAGTAGTTTGGGAAGACATGAGCAAAATCACAATGGAAAGAAACCCCATGGGTGTAAGCAATGTGAAAAAGCCTTCTTTTCTTTGAGTCACCTGCGAAGACATGAACAAACTCACAATGGACAGAAACCTTATGTATGTGAGCAGTGTGGGAAAGCCTTTCATTTTCCCTGTTCCCTCAGAAAACATGGAAGAACTCACACTGGAGAAAAACCCTATGTATGTATAGATTGTGGGAAAGCCTTCAGTGACTCTAGTTCCTTTTATAGACATAAAAGAACTCACACTGGAGAGAAACCCTATGTATGTGAACCATGTGGAAAAGCATTCAGTTGTTTCAGTACCCTTAAAGTACATGAAAGAAGTCACACTGGAGAGAAGCCCTATGTATGTGAACAGTGTGGAAAATCACTCAGTTGTCTCAGTTCCCTTAAATTACATGAAACAATTCATACTGGACAGAAGCCCTATGTATGTAAGCAGTGTGGGAAAGCCTTTAGTTATTCGAGTTCCTTTCGAACCCATGGAAGAACTCACAACGGAGAGAAACCATATGTATGTATGCATTGTGGTAGAGCCTTTAGTTATTCTTTTTCCCTTAAATATCATGAAAAAACTCATACTAGAGAGAAGCCCTCTGTATGCAAGGAGTTTGGAAGAACCTTTAGTTCTTTCTGTTACATTAAAATATGTGAAGGCATACACAATGGAGAAAAATCCTATATATGTAAGGAATGTGGAAAAGCATTCAGTCAAACCAGTCATATCATCAGACATCAAAGAACTCACACTGGAGAGAAACCCTATGTTTGTAAGCAGTGTGGAAAAGCTTTCAGTGACTCTAGTTCCTGTCACAGGCATAAAAGAACTCATACTGGAGAGAAACCTTATATATGTGAACAATGTGGAAAAGCATTCACTTGTTTCAGTTCCCTTAAATTACATGAAAGAATTCACACTGGAGAAAAACCATATGCCTGTGAACAATGTGGAAAAGCATTCAGTTGTTTCAGTTCCCTTAAATTACACGAAAGAACTCACACTGGAGAAAAACCCTATGTATGTCAGCAATGTGGAAAATCCTTTGGTTATTCTGGTTCCTTTCGAGACCATGCAAAAATTCACAGTGGGCTAAAACCCTATGTCTGTAAACAGTGTGGGAAAGCTTTTAGTTACTCTAGTTCCTTTCGAAAACATGAAAGAACTCACACTGGAGAGAAGCCCTATGTTTGCATGCAATGTGGGAAAGCCTTTAGTTCTTCCTTTTCCCTTCAAAATCATGAAAGAACTCACACTAGAGAGAAATCTGCTATACGCAAGGAGTATAGAAAAGCCTTTAGTTCTTCCCGTTACATTAAAAGACGTGAAAGAACTCATACTGGAGAGAAACCCTATATATGCAAGGAGTGTGGAAAAGCATTCAGTCGATCCAGTCACGTTCTCAGACATCAAAGAACTCACACTGGAGAGAAACCCTATGTATGTAAGCAATGTGGAAAAGCCTTTAGTTCTTCTAGTTATATTAAAATACATGAAAAAACACATACTGGAGAAAAATCCCATGTATACAAGCAGTGTGGGAAAGCTTTCGTTCAGTCCAACTATGTTCTCATAGATGAAAGAACTCAAGGGAAAGTAGCCCTGACCAAAGACTGTGGTAAGACTTCTTTCTTAAACTTTCTGTCAAATGTGAACAGTGGAGAGAACTTGTATTAATGTTAAGTATGTGGGGATGCCCGCAGTCATTTTGTTCAGTATATACATATAAATGAACATAGAAGAGATGTGCAAAAGCCTTCAGTTGACCCATGTGTAAGTATTTGCACTGAACAAAAAGGCTGTGAATGTGAAAAATACAAGAAAGTTGTCATTTAACAGAAAAAGTTTCACTGTCCTCTAAAAAGGCCTCTGGACTGGAATTCTAAAGGTGTGATTACTGTGAAGACCTTGATGCAAAATAATTTTGAGTAGAATGCTTCAGAAAATGCACCACCTGAAGGAAATGTACTTGTCATGAATTGATTGTGCTCATCAGTGGTTTTTTGGGGAGAGGGGAGCATCTTGTCTTTTACATGTAGTGTTTATTTTTCCAAATGAATGCAAGCTGTGAAGGGCATGGACATATTTTATAAATATTTCTGCCACCCTCAGTTCCAAAGCCTCAGGGGAGTGCTTGCTTTTGGAGGGATAAAAGAACCAGCCCTGGGACTCCAGTCTGAGTCATCTCTGCCTCTGATGACTGCAGGACCCAATAATTCTATTAACTTCCTTGGGCCTCACATGAAATAGAAGTGAGGTTTTGTTTCACCAAACTCTTAAACAACAGGATGGATAAGAAAAAGCTTTTGTGAGGCAGGATGCAAACATAAAGGAATTGATATTGTTCTCTTTCATCAGGCAGAAGTGGTGATACACAGAATTGGAATGCTCTCAGTGGAAAATGAGTGACACAGGAATTTAGATACTTCAAGTAGACATTGAGACTTCAACCAAAGAGATTCAAGTTTAGAATATATCCTGAATTTCTGATTTTGTTTTAGTAGTCTGCCCACCTAGGCTTGGCTCCATTTTGGCCTGATGTAAATTCTTTTAAAAATCTTTGGTTTGATTTGTTAGTGAGTAAAGCATTCTGATTTGAACCATAATTAAACCTAAGGACTCTGTACCCAGAGTCTGTCCCCCCTTAGGAGGGTGGACTTCTACAAGGACCTGCTGAGGACTGGGTAGAAGAGGTCTGCATCCTGAGTGTCAGTTACCACAAGGTTGAAGTCTCCCTTGGCCCAGGTGATGAGGGTCAGCAAAATGTGAGGCTCCTGAACTACTACTTATTATTTTAGCTTTAGCTTGGGCCCACACTGACTTGGGTAAAGTTCCTGCTGTCGACTGCAGGAAAGATGCTGCAAATGGAGATGGTTGCAGTAACAAACCAGTCTGCCATTTCCACTGACTACAGATCTCTGCTTAGGGTGGCTCCATTAGGTTGGCTCCACTGAGGTGTTTCTGCCTGGCTTGGATTGTGGGACTAGCATGGGGGAGCCATGGCTGAGTTCTGGGGAGTGACCAGTACCATGCTGTTGTGGTTCTTTTCTAGTGTGAATGTCTTAGGGATCTGGCAGGTTGAGAACAGAGTGGCCAGAACATCCAGATCATCCACTAGGAGATCCTTACTATCCCAACACAGGGCACTGCTGGACATGGTGAAGGTGTATTCATCCTCATTATCCTGGCATCTGTGGGACTGCCTTTGGTGTGATCCTGGAAGGCCAGAATCCGGTGCGATCATAGCTGCCATCTCTACACTCTTGTACCATTGTGGTAAGAGGAAGCTGCAAAATCCTCAGTTTTGACACAGACCCCACTGGCACAGTGCCCGCTGCCATGGGAAACCTGTATGGCCATGTTGTTCCTCTTGAAGAACGAGGTCCTGGAGCCCTGAGAGAAACTGACACTCCTGCAATTTCTTCTCTCCAGCTCCTGCACTGGTGCAAGTGGAGAGCCTTCTGTGGCACTATGCCTCTAGCTGAGCTGTGCATCCTTCCACATGAGGATTGGATGTGAACAAAGTGGGTTAATTGCAGTGTGATGAGGCAGAGCATTTTCTGTCTTGAAGGAGATGGTAATTGGAGCTGCTAAGCCCAGCTGAAGAAGAGTAGGCGGTTCTGAGTGACCTGAGTAAATGTTTCTCAGGGAGTTAAGTACCTTAGGTACTTTTTAGACAGTGATTTCTTCAGACATCTGAGAACATCACATGGATGGGGTTCATCTTCCATTGGTGAACATATGGCTTGCGGGCAGGAGCCTAGGCCAGGAGGTTGTCTCCTGTTTCACGAGCATGTGCTTTCCCAGTCCAAGCCCTGACAGCCCGCCTAACCCAGGCTACACTCTCACACACAGTCCTTAACTCCCAGGCTGCTGCAAAAAATGCCCATCTTTGGAAACCCCAGGCAAATTGGGAAGACCACAGAAGGCCCTGGCCATCCCCAGTGTGGTGCAGGTGAAAGGAAAGGGCTCCAGTGGCTCGTTCTTAATGTATCTCCACCCTGTGTGTGTCTAATTTTTACTCATGAAAGTATAAAGTTGTGGTGACATACTTTGTTTTGTTAGGCAGTGGTGGATGAATTTAAATTCAAACCAGGTAATGGGGTTTTTCTCCTTTTATTTTGAATCATGTTGGACTCATAGGCAAATTGAAGTATATTTCTAATGTCAGAGGACTTAATTTTTATGTAATTATTTTTTTCGCTTTTTGATGGACCTTTATTTATTTATTTATTTGTGATGCTGAGAATCACACCCAGTGCCTCACACATGCCAGGTAAGCGCTTTACCACAGAGTTACAACCCAGCCCTATTTTGTATTTTATTTAGAGACATGATCTCTCTGAGTTGCTTAGCACCTCGGGAGTTGCTAAGGCTGGCTTTGAACTCTTGATTCTCCTGCCTCAGCCTTGTGAGCTGCTGAGATTACAGGCATGTGCCACCACACCTGGCTCCGTGTAGTTTTTAAATAATTGTTTTTAATGGACCAATGGGAAAATTAGATTTCATTGTTGGGGTTTTCCTAATAGTCACGTGACAAGTTTTTACCCCTTTATACATACATACATATATAAGTACATATATATATATACATACATACACACATACATATATGTATGTACATACACATTTGGTTTTGGGGAGACAAAGGACTTTTTACATAGATTTTGTATTCACTTTTTGATGTAGATTTTCTTCAAACACAATTTTTTTTTAAATTTGTTTTTTAGGTATACATGACAGTAGAATGTATTTTTACATACTATACATACATGGAGTATAACTTCCCATTCTTGTGGTTGTGTATGATGTGGAGTTACACTGGTAGTGTATTCATGTGAACCTTGGGAGAGTTAAGTCTGATTTATCCCACTGTCTTTCCCATTCCCATCTACCAAAAAATTATTTCTTGTACATTGTTTTTTTTTTTTAAATACTTTTCTCAGTGTCTCAAACAACTTTAAGAAATGTCCTTTTTCCCCATTTTTATATTTCCACACAATTTTGTGACAAAATTCAAAATGTAGTGATGATAATAATTGAGTATAATTTTTTTGGATACAGGTCTACTAATGAAAAGAACAAAGTTCTTTTCAGGGGTAAATTTCCTTAACTGTTAAAATTCTAAGTTTAGTTAAAATTTAAAGTTTACCTATCAAATATACCATCTGTGAAGACCATTATAGCTCAAGAGCCATGCAAAATCAGATGACCAGATTTGACCATGCTTTGGTGACTAAAAGACATTTTATTGGGACCATGGAAGAGTTAAAAAGCAGAAGTAAGGGCTGGGGTTGTAGCTAGGTCGTAGAGCACTTATCTAGCCCGTGTGAGGCACTGGGCTCGTTCCTCAGCACCACATAAATAAATAGATAGATGGATTGATAGATAAAATGTGTTGTGTCCGACTACAACTAAAAATATTTTTTAAAAGAAAGAAAAGCAGAAGTAAGCAAAGACTAGGACTGTTCTGTTTTGTAACTTTCCTGGTTTATATGCTTTATTTCACATTTCATCTTTTCCTTAGTGTATACAGGACATCTATTTGTTTGGACATGTATTAGAATTAGCAGAGCCAGGCATGGTCGTGCACACCTGTTATCCCAGCAGTTTGGGAGGCTGAGAGAGGAGGATCATGATTTCAAAATCAGCCTCAGCAATTTAGCAAGGGCCTAAGCAACTCAGTAAGACCCTGTCTCTGAATAAAATATATTTTAAAAAAGGGCTGGGTGTGTGGCTCAATGGTTAATGCCCCTGGGTTCAATCTCCAGTACTCCCCCTCCCAAAAGAATTATTTAGCAGAGATGAAAAGACACAGAAAGAACCTATGTTTAGTTTTGATTACCAAAATAAGTATTTTTTAGTTCCATGTAAGACCAGAGAATTGAAGTCAAACAGAAGTAAGAGAGTTAAACTTTTTAGAATTACATACATGTGAAAAACTTGGTTAGAATGACTCATTCCCTTGGTTTCACTACGCCATGGGAAGAAACTTAAGCGTTTTCAGGACTTTTTTTTTTAATTTGTTTTTCATTTCTTTCAAAAATTATATATATTTTTTGTTTGTATTTGCTTTTAAAAATCTTAGCTGGAGTACAAAACCATAATACATAAGAATGGGATAATGTACTATCCCATACAATATATACACTGTGTGATATTTAAGCCAGGATAAATATTGAAATATTTTTTCCCTGTAAGCCTTTTTTATATCTTTGCAGTGGAACCTTTCAAAAGTCTTCTAGATTTTTAGTATGTATAATACATACCTATAGTTACCATTCTGCAGTAGTACTTCAGAGCTTCTGATTATATGTAATTTTAACTTACCGCCCATTGATCAACCTTTCCCCATACACCACATCTTTCACCAGCGTTTGGTAATCTGCACTTAAATGTCATCTTCTATGAAATCAGCTTTTTTAGAATACACATATGAGTGAGATCATGTGATACTTGTCTGTGTCTGGCTTATTTCACATAGTGTCAAAATCTCCATTTCCATACATGTTGTTGCAAATGACAGGATTTCTATCTCTTTTTTTTTTTTTTTTTTTTTTTAATTCTTCCTTACTTCCCTAGGGCCTCTTGCATGTTAGGCAAGTGCTCTTCCACTGAGCTGCGTATTCAGCCCTGATTTCATTCCTTTAATGGGTGAATAGTCTGCCATTGCAAATAGGTACCTTTTTTTTTTTTTTTTTAAGTACCAAGGGTTGAACCTAGGGGCACTTAACCACTGGGCCACATCCCCAGCCCTTTTTATTTTTTATTTTAAGGTAGTGTCTCTGTAAATCACTGAGGCTAGTTTTGAACTTACGATCCTCGTACCTCAACTTTTTTGAGTCACTGGGATTATAGGCATGCACCACTGTACCCAGCATGCAAGTATGTACCACATTTATTTTATCCATTTACCAGTTGATGGACTCTTAAATTGCTTCTGTAACTTTGCTATTGTGAATAGTGCTATGATGAATATGGGAATAGAGATGTCTCTTCCAAATTCTGGTTTAATTTCATTTGGATATAGAGGCAGTAGTGGGATGCTGGTACATAGGTTCTGTTTTTAATTCTTTGAAACACCTCCATCCTCTTTTCCATAATGGCTGTACTAATTTACTTTCCCACCAAAAGTTTGCAAGGATCTTGTTTCTCCACATTTGGGGGTGAGGGACAGGTACTTGGGAGTGCTCTACCACTGAGCTAAGCCCTTTTTGTTTTGAGAAGGTCTTGCTGAGTTATGGGCCTTGCTAAGTTGATGAAGCTGGCCCTGAACTTCAGCCTTCCCTCAGCCTCAGCAGTGGTGCACCACCATGCCCAGTCATTTCTCCACATTCTTGTCAGCACTTGTTTTCGTGTGCCTTTTACATCTTAGCCATTCTTACTGGCTTGAGCTAATAATCTCACTGTGGTTTTGATTTGCATTTCTGTGATGACTAGTGATGTTGAGCATTTTTCCATGTACCTGTTGGCCACTTCCATGTCATCTTTTGAGAACTATTTAGATGTAATGACAACTTTTGAATTGGGTTGTTTTTTTCCTGTTGAGTTTTTGTGTGTTGCAAATATTTTCACACATTATGTTGGTTGAGTATTCTGTGATTCGTGTTTCCTTTGTTGTGCAGAAACTTTTAACTTCAGGTAATCTCATTTGTCTATTTTTGCTTTCATTTCAAGGCTTCTGGGTTTTATCCAAAAAATATGTGCACTCCAGAGTCACGAAGCATTTCCCCTGCATTTTCATTTCGTAGTTGCAATTCTTATGGTTAGGTCTTAAAGCCATTTGGAGTCGATGTTTATGATTGGTGAGAGAAAGTGACAAACATCTATATCGTCACTCTGCATCTGAAAATTAAGTTTTTTCATTAACATGTTGAAAGACAGCCTTTTTCTAATACATATTGTTGCATTGATAAATGTGTCTCTTGTGTGCTTCTGCCATGCTGTTTTAATTACAACAGCTTTCTCTAGTATGTTTTAAAGTCAGGTAGCTAACTGCCTCCTGCTGTATTCTTTTTTGCTCAAAATGCTTTTGGCTATTAATAGATTTTTTTCTGGGTACCATAAAAATATTAAAATTCTTTTTTATATGTGAAAAATATTTTGATATGGATAGTATTGAATTTGTAAATCACAGTGGGTAGTATGGACTTTTTAACAATATCAATTCTTCTGATCCATGAATGTAGGTTATTTTCCTGTGTGTGTGTGTGTGTGTGTGTGTGTGTGTGTGTGTCCCTTCAATCTCTTTCATCAATGTTTTATAATTTTTAATTTTAAGGCTCTTTTCCCTTTTTTTTTTAAAGTCATTCCTAAATATTTTTTTCTTTTAGCTGTTGTAAATGAGATTGTATTCTTAATTTTTATTTCAGATAATTCATTGTTGGCATATAGCAAAGTTTTTTTTTTATGTTGAACTTTCATTCTGTATTATTGCTCAATTCATTTAAAATCTATAACCTTTTTTTTTTCTTTTGGTTGATTTGGATTTTCTATGTATAATCATGTCATCTGTAGACAGTGTCAGTTTTATTTTTCTAATTTGAACACCCATTATTTCTTTTTCTTTCCTTGTCTCTGGCTAGAACTTCTTGCTGTTATGTTGCATAAAAGTGAAACTGGGCATCCTTGATCTGTTTTGTATCTTAGAAAGCCTTTAGCTCTTCCCCCACTCAATATAATGAAAGCTCTTGGCTTATTGTAAATGATTTTATGTTGAGATACCTTACTTTCTGCTTAATTTGATCAGTATTTTTATGATGAAGGAATGCTAAATTTAATCACATACCTTTTTTGCATCAGTTGAGATGACCATGTGGTTTTTGTCCCGTTGGTGTACTGTATCAGCTTTATTTATTTAATATTAATTTTTAGTTGTAGATGAATGCAATACCTTTTTATTATTTTTATGTGGTGCTGAGGATTGAACCCAGGGCCTCGGACGTGCTAGGCGAGCACTCTACCCCGAGCCACAACCACAGCCCTTACTCTATCAGCTTTATTGATTTGTGTTTATTGAACCATCCTTTCATCCCTGCAATGAATAAAACGTGATCATGGTGAATAATTTTTTAATGTGCTGTTGAATTCAGTGTGCTGGTATTTTGTTGAGGATTTTGCATCTGTGTTCAACACAGATGGATACCAACCTGAAGAATAAAGCTGGCCTCAGAGAATGTCTTTGGAAGTATTCTTCCCATTTCTTCTTTTTTTATTTTTTATTTTT